GTACTCAATTACACGTATATGTCCCACTAATGGCCATAGGCCTCCTCTCTTAGGCGAGTGGGAATGGCCTGTAGTCCCCACGCTAGCCTAATACGTATTGAATTCGATGAACACATCATCCAAAGAACATAATATCTCTTGGTCAGGGCCTCTATTGTCGCTGAATGAGACTACTAAACCAGAAATTTAAAGAAGTGTTCTGCGAAGTTTACAAGTACATAATTATTGATTCGAAATAAGTCATATAATAAGTTACTTCTATGCTAACCTAGATTATATAGGAAGCTCAACCTTAAAAGTCCGGCAACGTACTTGCGAGCCTTCTGGCAATGTGAGTGTCCATGGACGGCTATCACTTAACATTAAATGAGCCCGTTTGCCTTCTATTACATAAAAAACCTATGAGTTGGTATTCTGAAATTGTTTTTGTGTATTAACTTTTCACTGACAATTCTTCTCTTCATAATACGTGTCTTTATTGCAATTAATTAAATATCAAGCTCACGAAAGGTAGCAGTACGCCGCTTATGCTTTATTGCCAGTTCTTCTCTTTCGTTCTACGCCCTTGATTTGAGAACTGAGTAAATGTAAAATTAGAAGCATTTAATGTATATTTCTCTTTTGACGTTCATAAGTGTACATTGTGTTACCTATGAATAAATGATTTTTGACATTGACTTTGCTTAACTGTTTCCTTAGTTCTGCACCTGATATTTTTGTGATAGGTTAGAGACCGTATGTTGGTATTATATTTATTTAGAAAACATTAGTAGTTTATAACAATATGATAATTGTTTATAAACTATACCATGTATGCCTTAATTAATAAAATAAATAAAGTAATAAAGAGGTTTCACCTATGCATAGATTATATAATATACGTATAACGTAACGTTCACACACATTTAATTTTTACAAATCATTCGAGAAATTTCCACAATTTCTCTTTGCATTGAGGACTGAATGTCTTTGCATTATCGGCACACTACTTACAAACTTATCATGACAAGCACATTGTCTGAGATTTCACTGGCTTTCGTGCCTTGATTTTAACGGTTTCTTGCTTTTATTGAATAATTTTGGCTTATAAGTTGGCTACTAAAACAATGATATAAAAAGATGCCATCACAGAAGTCGTTTTGATTGTTTTAGTAACATTTTTACGGATACATTAATAGAAACACTATTTGGTATGTACTAAAAAGGTAGTCAAAGTAAAATCACATTAAGGAGAAACAAAGTTCGCGGGGGCAATTCAATTTACATGACATTCTACAGTATACATAATTCGAATCGAAAATAACATAATCTTCGTAATATTAACACGATCTAAAATGATATTGATTTAGTAATTGCATTGTCGCATAAGGATTCCACAATGACTTGATACAGGCTTATTTCTTGTATAAAAACGCAGGTAAAGTCAAACGGGTCAACTATGAAAAGTAGAATAGTGTAGCATTGTTTCACTTGTTAGAATTCTAAGTAGAGCTCCACCTACTTCAGGAATTTTTACATTATTTCACATGAGTCTTGAGCTCGTTCTACTGTAACAATATCTGTTAATGATAATAGTGTCGACTTCTCACGGTTTTCTTGTTTGGTTGAGATGTATAACTTTGGACTCGCTTGAGATGTTCTCACGTGATTATTTATTAAAAAATCTATAGATATTTCAAAGATATTAAGATGACAGCCACCATACCCTTGGATTTTACACGTGCGCTGTAGCAGGTGTATTAGCTATACGACATATTTTATTCATTATTTCCTTATAAGATGCTTTGCGTTTGATTTTACCATGTATTGTAACTCAATAATAAGATTCACGACATCTGTGTTGTATTTGTGCAATTAATTCGGTTTATCATACACACATACACATAGTCTACTGTATAAGTACCTGTCCACACTACGGTGTAAGTTTACCACCACCCCTAAGTTTCGTACTAACTGTTCTAACAGAAATTATCGTGAGTCATTTATTTAGTTATTTATAAGTAATCTTACAGCGACACATATATGACATATTAAACAGAACTCTTAGACAATATACAAAACCAAAACAGATTACATAGATAAACAATATATATGAAACAGAAAACATAAGTAAGTATATCATACAACAAATGGCAATCAAAACTTAATATTTCCAAGAATAAACTAGATGGTTACTGCTAAACAAAGTCAAAGTTTTCCCACCTCTTCAAATTTTTCCTCACATCCTCTTTGGTGGGGTGGAAAATATCAATATCCTCATAATTAGTGTCATGTGTCCTTTTTTTTATTGTCCCTTTCACAGTCTAAATATGTTTAATTGCTTTGTTTTGTTTATAAAGTAAAGTCTCTATGTAGTTTTGCACTTCTTGCACTCGCCTTATCAATTTTTTTTTCTCTAGTTGGATGGAAGAGATCGCTCGAAAGCGGTAAGGTCGCCAGTTTCCTCCTTTTAATTTAAATATTTCAATTTTACTGCATTTCTTTATTACTGCAACGAAGAATAGATAAATAAAAATCAACAACGGGTTTGGTAGGTAGGAATCTAACACACAGTCAGTGGGGGAAAGTTAGAACGTTTACTGTTATTAGAAAGATGCCCAAAAGCGACTACGGTGCATTAATTGATTTTGGCTCATATATTTGCCGAAGATTAAATACATATATGTATGTTTATTAATTATTATACATACCAAAAATGTGTAAATTTAAAATTCTAGAACAAGGCGGCTTCCTCGAACCAACACTGTTCTTTTGTCAAGCCATAATCGAATTATACCTTTATAATTAAATAAATAGTTAACGTGTCAAGCTAAGTGAAAACCGTCAGTTACTAGAAAAAAGTAAACAAACAGGTGTAGAAATGATTTCCTTTTAAACTAAGTAAAACTAGAATGTTAAAGAAAGCAGTCGTAAAATAACTTTATCGTTGATAAAATACGTAAATCTATGAAATTATCATGGCAAGTTATGTTTACCTACTACATACTATGTACCGGGGCGCCTCAATAAGAATGCCAAGGGCACTCTTACAACACAAGATATCTTGGCGATCACTTGAGATAAAATTCTATAATATGTAATAGTTTAAAACTTTAAAATATATGCCGACTATAAAAGTACAGATATATAAATATTATTTTTAAAAATAAATCAAAATATGTACATAATATTCCGCAAGTATTATCTATAAATAAGAAAGATTTTATTGTGTGAATGTTTGTATTGAGTAGACTCCAAAACTACGGACCCGATTTGAAAAATTATTTTATCATTACCAATACTTTCATAAAAGTTAGGGAACCGTATGAAAACTTCGATAATGTAAGCCAAACTATGAAAATACAATAAAATCCCTGTATTGCGCACGCTGCTTAAACTATTACAATAGTAGTACCTACTCTATTTTGTGGAAGACATCAATATCAACAAAAAAGTCCGCGATACCATTTTAAATGTAAAAGTCCATACCGTCCATTACCGAATGCTAAAGGAATTCTAATTATATATTTTTATACCTGAAGTAAAAAACAAAGACAATTATCTATATCTACTGTTTTCTAGAATTTTGCAGCCTACAAACTAGGATGCGTTTCCGCTATTTATTTTTTTATTTCGTAATCCTACAGCTAACACAAATTATATATAACAAAAAACGATTATAGTAAATATATAGCCAAAGATGGAATACACACAATACAAAGAGGTTCAAACGTGTACGAAAGGGATAAAATCAATCAAAATGATTAAATACTAAGTAATACCGAATTCGGCTGTGTTGTGTGATAGTGTGAAAGTGAGGGTATGTACGTGAGGTTGTGTATATGTGGTGTGGTCATGATGCAGGTTATTCAGCGCTTTATATAGTCTTAATACTCCTTTTAAGCATATTTCTATTTTTTTTAATTCTGTTGACCTAGCCTTGTCTTTTTGCTTTCCTTTCTATCGCATGTAACTTCTGTCTATGAAGATAAGATAAAAAAGCTGCGATATGTGTCACATATATAAGGCATATTATATATTAGGATTCATGATATTCAGTCACTATAGAACAAGCGTATTTTAATTTATCGATGACCTTTTCCACGCGACTTATAAGGTCAAAGCATACATTTTGTTTATCTCTTTGTGGTATCTTGTGCTCGTATATTGTATCACGATTTCCTGGATACACAAATGTTAATTAATCTTATTAATATTTGATTCGAATTTACCTCTGCACCGTAGTGGTTTTTGTTTGTATGGCTTAGTAAAACAAGTAGGTACGAGGTTGGTTATTCAGATTATATTATTTATTTATTTTTTTATCACAATATGAACGAGACGTGAAAACAAATTTTTATCGTAATTCAAAGTGAAATCATTAGCTCATTCTCATTTAGCACTTCGAGTAGATTTTCGCTAATATCACGTAATAGTAAGCACACACATAAACCTTGTGACGTGAGGGTTATATGACTATACAAACTATCTTATTTTGGTGTTATATTGTCTAGAAAGTTTATGTCTTTTGACGTAATGAAATTTAAAAAAAAATCCTGTTGTTGTTGTTGAAAACATGTTCGATAGCCTAGGCACTACACGTAACGATTTATATTTGGACTAATAAACCAAAATTCATTTATATTCACTTCAGCGATTTGTTCACTATTCTTTGCACGACTATATTCATTTAAATTTTGGAAATAAATACAGACTTACTCAGGGATAATGTACCATAAACAATCACATAAATACAAATCTTATAACATCTTTCGATATCTTTTCTAAGGTATATTTTGAACAGAAGTATTTATATATTTATTGCAAAGAAGTATTTATGTATCTAATCAATAAGTTTACTTAAGTTATTAGTTACCATGGTTCGTGGCACATACACGATTTTTTGTTCAAAGCGATTACTGACGGCCTTCGCGATAATTAATTCACTAAAACGATTGCCAACTTTTATTAAAGCCTGCACAACCAGTTTTCATGTTGAAATCATATTGTTTTCAGTAACAATGCACTATACGCTGAAAAGGTATTCAATGCAGGTTTAAAACTCTTTTAAAATTTTATTTTTACGGAAGTAATTATTTAATGTATTTTATTTTATAATAATTATTTCTTTCTTTAAGCAGACAATAAGTCCGTATGATTATTATTGTGTTAGAATATTGTCCTAAATATTATTTTATTATAAAAAAATAATTAAAAAGCAGGTAACATAAGTTATAAGGTAACGGGCGGTCTTATCGCTAACAGGTAACCCTAATGTGGAACAATAAAAAAGAAACGCATATATATATATATATATATATATATATATATATATAAGAAGTGCATAAAGAATTAAGAAAAATAATACGTAACTATAACTAAAGTAAAATATCGTAAAATCTAAAGAAAAAATAAAAATATGTATAAACAAAAATCTAAATGCCAATCAAAAGGTTAACTGAATCACAATAATTAATATATATAAGTAGTAGCTAATTACGAGGCAGAAAAAAATTATCAAAAAGAAGTAGAATATTAGTAGGTTAGCTTTAAGTGATAAAAATTCACAAATCACCGCAACAAAACCACACTAAGTTTTTACTGAAGCACATGCAGTCCATTGCAATGACCCATGTAAGGGCAATCCAGTCTTCCCACTACCAGCATGCTGTTAGGCCTCCCTCGCACGCTCCTCACCAGTGAGCTCGTTTGGTTGTTGTGGTGTAAAAACAGTCCACACCTGCACAACCAAACTTAGTAAATAGTTTTAAATTATTATAACATGTACTTTACAAGATTAATATATAATTATCACGTTTACAACCAAACTGCCCAAGTTTGATACGTTTTATTCAAAAATTATTTAAAAACAGTTTTCTTTACAGTGGTCATTACGTTTAATAATTTACGTATAAACATTCTGGATAATTTATTTTCTTTAAGAACTTGTTTTTTATTATTTCAGTCGATACATATAAACTAATTTAACTGGATAATTGCGTTTTTTATATCGTTGTGTTCAGTAATTAATTTCGAAGTCGTGTTGTATGATATCTTGTTAACGAGTTTAACATTGCCGCAATAAGTGTTACGTCCACTTGAAAAACATTTAGATACTTCCGATTATTATGACCATTCGTGACTTCGCGCTCTGATATTTATCTCTGACATATTTTCTTTTTCGTGAAAAACGATTTGATGTTTATTGCCGAGGCCTAGATAATACAAAGAAAGAGCTTTAAATACTTAATAAAAAAGTATATTTAGGTACAATAAAGAAAGTGCACTAGCCCCCACACATATTCCCTGTGTCGTGGGCAGATAGTCTCATTCTTTTGACATGTTAACGGTACTTGACAATAATTTCTACATAATACTTCATTTCATAATTAAACTATTGTTTAACAATTAGAATATTTTCTTTCTATTTGTACGTAGAAAGTGCGTTTTTGGGAATCTTATATGTAGGTTTGCGTTGTGTATGATGTAGTGTGGTCGTTGTTTGTTTTCAAAAAAGTCTGCATATTCCTATTAAGTATATAGTAATAGGTTTATGATATTGTCTTTGGTTTTGAACTGACCACAGCGCTCGTATTGATAATACAGTAAAAAATAGGTGGTTTATGTTCCTGTTACGTTTTTAAATACAGGGTCACCCTGCGTAACGTCGCTCGTTGAACCGAAACAGCCCCATTAGTACATACGCTTGGGGCTAAAGTCAAAAGGGTTTTGCGGCAGGCGAAGCCCGCTAAAGTCAGTCGAATATATATAGATAGTATCGTCATAATCGTGAGTTAATGTCATTCCCATAGTACAGGGACTTTTAGTCCCTGATACTATGGGAATGACTATTGGGAATGACTTTAATGATTTTCGATTTTTTTTGTAAGATAACATGGTTGTTGAACTAGTTTTCATACAAATAACTGTTGTTATTTTAATACCAGTACAAAGTAAATATTTTAAAACGCGAGACATTCCTTGATCAAAATTTAAATATTCATAAGGTTTGTAGAGGTTACTAGTACTTACTGGGTACTCGACCGCATATACGACAAAAGAATACGATTATACTGAATGTTTTGAGTACGGCGCATTATGTTAATACGAAATACCTTTGTTGATTTGTCTATAAATATATGAAGCCTGGAAACCTCGCATTTGCAAATAAAGAAGTTGGTTTTAATAAACTAATAATCTTTATGTCGTATGTTATCTGTTATTTTACTTATATTTATGTTTCTCATTTCAGATACCGGTGGACAGAAATGGAAAAACAAGATCTTTAGAAATTCGAAACGCATATCCCAATGAACATACAAATATAAGAAGCTATTCTGCAGATATCAAAAACTCGTACGCAATAGAAAGCAGAAGTAGTGATGAAAACCATAAAAATGATTTAAAAGAAAAAATATATTTCAAACCGTATACTACGTTGATACCGAAGATTAATTTCAACATGGACAAAGTTGTCGACAGAAATCCAAGAATTTTAGATTTGCGTGAAAAATTAAATGAAATTTCCAAAAAGCAAGAAATGAATGTAGATAAAAAAACTAAAAGCCTGCTTAATGACATTACACAACAGCTGGTTGAAGACAAAGAAGGGGATGACTCAGGACCATATAGTTTATTATTTGATATTGATAGCCCTTCTACGTCAAGCAAAGAAAGAAAGGAGCAGTCAAGCAGGGTTGATTATGAAGACGCGGATTTACATTCCCGTTATCGTAATAAAAGTCCCAACTCAAATATTGCAGTTGAGCGGCTGCCTAACGTTTTAAATTTTGATAATAAGCCAATGAATGAGTTTGAGTACTCGTGTGAAAAAGAATTTAACCCAATACCTAAGAAAACTTTTAACACTCATTCCCGATCAGATCTTTGTTTACAATTAAAGTCGCATATACGAAATATTGACACGAATTCAAGTCCGAACGAAAACTCTATGACAAGAAATAATGAAGAAAACTCTTTAGATGACAGTTTAGGCATCCTAACACCGGATCAAATGGATGATATTTGCTACTTAGAAAATTCGTTTTCGCCCACCGTAGAGGGATTGCCTATATTTTGTGAAAATAATGAATATAAAGTTTCTCCAGATAATGGTGATACTCCGTCTACCGATAAGACTGAATCTAACTCAGCAGCATCGACAATTCAGAACGACTGCTATGAAAATACTATAAATTTAAGAAAATCTAGTGTCGTAAAAGAAACTTTTGCCCCAATCGCAACTATTGATGCTATTGAAATTACTTCCTGTGATAATGATGTATTACTGACTTATTCTAATAATTTATTAAACCATCCTGATGGTTGTTCTCCACAAACTATATTACGAAAAGAAGAATATCTAACACTAGACACAGAATCGTGTCAAGACATCTCCGTGTCTGAAGCATTAGAAGAAGAATTTTTACCTTCTATACACGGTAGTATACTAGAACCAGCGAGTTCTATGGCCGATACAACTGTGAACATGGAAATACCATTAGATGTTAAAAATGGTATGCCTCTAATCACAAACAGGATAGAACAAACACCATCACCTGAAGATTTGCCTTTAGATAATTCAGACGTAAATGGAGAAATAAGCACCTATTCTCAGTTTTCTTCATCAACTCTGCATGATTCCCAAACATATTCAGACAGCAAAAGCAACGATTATACAAAGTCTATGGAAACGTCAAAGGTATCGAATAGTTTTATAACAAGTATAACAAGTATTACGAGCCTAGATGGGTATCAGGGTGATGGTGAAATGTCAAGACCCGTTAGCAGAAGTGCTGAACATAATTTAGGTCCTCGTGAAGAAGTCATAGATATGGATTGGCAAAACATTGCGGTGCCTAGAAGAGTTGATCCTATGACAGATTCCGACTTCTTTACAGAGAGTGATGCTGATGGGTTCGATGAGCAAATGCAAAGGGGTGATAGACGCGCTCAAGTTATAGATGGTGCCTTATACGGAGGAAAAAATAAAAAAGCAAATCAGCCTTTAATAGTTAATAGAAGTGAAGATTCTTGTATGGAATCAAGCGGAGTTTATACAGATTTTGAAAACCAACGCGCTTCCCCTGTTTTTTTGAATGCTATAAATGATATGTCACCAGCTTCTACGATATCGTCGCGCTCGGATTGCAGCCAAAAAAAATTAGAAGACATTTATTATACACCTTTAAACAATCATCTAAATAACACTTTAGAGGAAAGCGATCAAAATATCGCATGTTTATTGAATGACGAAAATATAACACCCAAGAATACCAGTAAAAGAAATTCTATAAAAAGTGACAAAAGTGAAATTAACACATGTGAAAAGAATAAAGAAGAAAAGAGGAGTTTCACTTTAAAGAAGTACAAAATGCCGAAGCGTGATGTTCCAAGCAAGCTTAAAACGATGTTACAAAGTCGAAAAAGTGAGGTCGATAATAATGTTCAAAATAGTCCTAAAACAGTGAAGAAAACGGAAAGACGAGAGAGCTTTTTGAAAAAGAACGTAATTGACAGCAAAACTGATTACAGAGTTAAATCTTACAAAGATATCAAATCAAAAGTCGATTGTTCATTTTCTTTACAACGTTCTCAGACTTCATGTAGTGTAACCAGAATCATGAGTTCCAAATCTCAAAACCAAAATGCGAAACCAAAAAGGTAACTATTGTACCATAATATTATTTAATTTAATTATATCTTATAATGATTATAAGTACTGTATCTGCTTTGGGCAGTTTATAGACTGACCCTCATATTCTGAGTCGAGACATATGCTTACTCTCGGTTGTCAAAACTGTCAACGGATTACGTACCCTTCGACGAATATCGACGGGTATTTAGTAAACAATTTGCGGAGTGCCCTCTATCATCAAACAATGCAAAGTTAAACTGATAGTTTCAATAAAATAGTTTGCTTAATAGAATAATTACGAACCATTCGTGTATAGAAACCTTGAACAGCGCTATGTGGCTTTTTGGAACTAAACAAAAGAACATACATCGTTTAAATATTGTTAGTAAAGTATACAAATTATATGGAAATCGATGGTTAAAATTGTTGACTTACATTATTAGATGCTGTGGACAAATAACAATCTAAAGAAAGGCACCACAGTTTAATCTTTTATATAAAAGAAAAACATAAAAACTAAATCAGTGTATTTGCAGTCTTAAATGCTGTTGTATAATTCTGTCCAATTGCGTTTACACTGTAATTGAAAGAGACAGATATTTATGAATAAGGTTTTACTCCACCTTCAGCATTTTGTTGGAGAAGATTTTTCAAGGGATGCTTTTGATTAATATATTGATAATATTATGATCGACAGTCGTCACATGCGAATGCGGCTGGAGCTGGGGTCGGCGCACGGCAGCGGCAAAAGCAGCCTCCACAGCTCACAGAGCGACATCAGCGCCACCAGCTCGCCTGCACCCAAACACACCACCGCTCGCTTCCCCCTGCGTAAGTAGTTTTTTTTTATTATAGATGCAATAATTATATAAGGAATATTAAATTACGAGCACAGTACTTTTTAGGAATTAAATTTTATATCTATATATATAAAAATAAATTGCTGTTCGTTAGTCTCGCTAAAACTCGAGAAATGCTGGACCGATTTGGCTACTTTTGGTCTTGAATTATTTATGGAAGGCCAGAGAAGGTTTAAAAGGTTTTAATAAATATGAAAATGCTCGAAATTTAATAAAAACAACAATTTTGCTTTTCCTTTGATGTGTCCTGTCGTTCAGAAATCAAATTAAAATAATAGTTTAAAATTAAATCTGATTAGAACTTTTATATCTTTCTTAATTTCTCAGGACTTAGTTACTTATTTATCTAAGTTTATTTTATACAAAAGTTTAGGTCTTTTATTTATCGATTGAGGCAGTACAAAGTCTGCCGGGTTAGCTAGTTATAATTAAAAACAATTAGCTCCATTGAGAATCACACTGTCATAATGACAATCTGTGAACCAATTTTACAAAGTAAAAAAATCATATCCTCATTCTGAATCTAGTTAAAAGAATAGCACACATTTATGTTTTAAAATTATTATGATTCGACGAATTTTAATACAATTTACAGAATCTTAATTACCTACTACCAATCTATCGTAAAAACTTTTAAATTTCAATGTTATCGGCAATGAAATAAATATTAAATAATTTAATAGCTTTAACCTTGTTTTGTTTGTTAAAATCTTATCTGGTAGCGGATAATAATAAAACGCAAACAGCTTACACTAACACTTTTTAACATCTTAAGCCCCATCCACACGCTTGACAAACAATGGCAAACAGCCAATAGCAAACAGCAAACACGGACGTGTGGATGGGTGTTTGTCGTTGTTTGCCTGTTTGTGTTTGTGTTGGGCAGTGTTCGGCATCGGTGTCGGTTTATCTTGCCAGATCAAAGGATGTTTGGCAAACAGTTTGCTACGTATCCACACGTTTGGCAGCGATCAGTATGCGCGCGAGCTTGCGGGAGGCGGACGTATTTACTTGCTACACTTTTTCGTTTTTTTTGTTTTTTTGGTCTAAAGCAGTACCTTGTACGATTTCTATGTATTTTAATCATCCACCATCGTCTTTGCTTTCTTCTTTTTTCCTTTTTTCTTTCTCTTGCTTTAATTTATAATAAAAATATGTCAACCCGAAAGTAATAGCTGCTACAAGCTCGTCGTCCGCCATGTTTGCCGATTCGGAATGTTATGAACGTTCGCCAAGCATGTGGATGGCTGTTTGTGTTGGGTGATTGTGGTTGGTGTTTGGGACTTCGTTTGCTGTTTGCGGTGTTTGTGACAAACAGCCAGCGTGTGGATGCCCCTTTAGCAACGATAAATGAAATGTCAAATCCATAAATGTTATATATCAACTGTAGCTGCATACATTTATGCCGGTTTCTATAAAAAATACGAATAGTAACGGCTATGAATGGTAATTTTCTTTTATTAAATAGAACAACTACAATTTGTAGAAATCACGACTCATAATTTGTTAATTAACTATAACTTTAAATTTACAAAAAATGCGCCTGTAGTTTTTATGCAGCAAAAGTTGTATACGCAAACATTGCTCGATAGTATTAAGAAGCAAATAAATGATAAGGAAAATACATAAACATTATACATATATAAACTTACTGAATAAATATGTTTAAGTAACGTCATTCGACACACAATTATTATTGTATGTAATTTTTCCATTTCGGCTGCTATGCCAATAACATGCGATCTTGAACTCTTGCTTCACACAAATTTATGTGATAATTTGTTAAACAAATTAACATTAATATAAACGAAATATTGGAGTTTTCAGACCCATAAAAGGTTAAATACGTTTTTAAAACTTTTATACCAGACCCTAAGTGTATCCTTCACACTAAGTTGTTATCGAATCAGCTGTAGACCTGTGGCAGTGGGTGCATAAATCGATGCAAAGGTCACGAAGAGCAATACAAGTATTTAGGGTTGTCAAAACATCCCACATTGATTTTGTTGTGAAAATTTTGCGTTACATTTTTGTTTAGTTACATAAAGCAAGTTTTATTTGAATAAAGCTATTATTATTTTTAGAGCAGTAGGCGACAATTGTACTATTTAAAAATTTGATATATTAAATTCACTTTCCTGTTGATGGTCTTTAACAAGTCAATAACTGTCAACCCTATACAACACCGCATGGCAACTGACATTTCCTCTTGCAACCCGCTACTCGCTAGTCGCTAGACAAGACTCGAGAGGCGGCCAGTCGCCGACGAGACGCGACCGGCGCGCGCCGTCTGCGCTACTTTGTCGCGTCCGTGACGTCACTTACGCGAAAAATCAATGGTTACCTCTTCGACACTAAGGTTAACCGCATACCGCATTTTAAGGAAAATGTGATCTATGCCAGTGAAGTGCCGAACAATACAACCGCGAGTTGTTACAGCAGCTCCACAAAATGTGAACGGTTACTGTTTTTGAGTAGTGTCATAATTTCATTTCCTAGAATCTTCTATTATTTATACTTTCCATTTTGACGGGTTAGGCCTCATTTAGTTACTAGTAAAATTTCATACATCTAGTAATCTAAGATAATAGAAAGAGCAGTGTTGTTTAAAAAATATAATTAAATTAATCAGATAACAAAAGTTTTCTTATAAGATACTGTCAACTTTTAAACCCTTCATTAACTTGCTGAAATAACACCTGATTATACTTATAACTTGGGTATGCATTGAACGTAAACTGGTTGTATTAATGACATTCCATAGACAATATTCAATGCCGTTACTCGAAAGCAATCTATTGTTTACACTTCCATTAGGAGTAATGAGACAAAATACACATTATTTTGTCTATTACATCTAATACAGATAATAACTCAATTACACGCTATTGCATTAAAGCAGTGCAGTAATTTGTAGAAAAATAAAAACTGAAGTATTTCCGAACCAATTTGACTTAGGTTCCTTCAAGAGCGCACCAATTATTAAAAGAGAACCTTCTGGAATTTAGTGTCCATGGGCGAGCCAGACCTATTTGCTCCCCTCTATATCTATTGGAACATTACCGAATAGTTTAAAATGGTAACAATTACAAGGAAATGATTTAATATTGCCAGTAAAATTTATGCGGTTGCAAAACTGACGGAATAAGTTGCTGCGCACTTTTTACTCATTACAGTAAAACCTTGTGTAATTTTTTATCTCGTTAGGAACGTAATAGCACAAATGAAGGCTTACTATAAGTCAATTATGATCTGTCAACAATATCGTCTACGTTTGAAAATATGTATCGCGAATATGAAAAAAGTATTCTCCACCTTTCACTATTATATCTGGCCACTGCGATCGACACGCAATAAGTAACCGTTAACTTGATTGATTAATTTTACATACAGTCGTTATCCTTGTTCTTACCTTAACTTGTGCAAATTACTGGAATTTATTGAAAGCCACTCAAGGCTTATCATTAAACCACATGTCAATCACTGATAATGATATTTGGACAGTCATATAATAAGATTGGGAGTATATTGATACACTATGTCAAAATCTGGTGTTAAAAGAATTCTCTATTATTGAAGCTGTTAGAAAAAATATGATCAACTTAGTACTGATTATAAATACTACATATCAGGGCCGGATTTAGAGGTTGGGAGGCCTCGATAAACTATGTTAAAATCTGGAGTTACAAAAATTCACTATTATTAGAAAAAGTATGAACAATATAAGTACTACTTATCAGGGTCAGATTAAGAGGTCTGGAGGCCTCGGGGTAATAAAGAAGTGGAGGCCCCCTGGCCCTAAATTATTTTCCAAATAAAATGATCAATTTTTTTGTCGAGGTTTTCAATCAATAATTTATATTGAAATCAAGTAGATTATTTAAGTATTAACCAAACATACAAATATAGTGTAAAGTGTTTCTTTATAACGTCTTTAGTTATAACGAAAAAAAATGCTCGGTCCCTTGAAATTCATTATAAAGAGTTTACACTGTATATCATAAGTTGTTTACTAGAGTTTACTAGTCTGAATTTAAAACAATTTTCCAAAGTCTCTATTGTGGGGGCTCTTTTGTGTGTGGGTTACCCTCCCCTAAATCCGGCTCTGCCACTTATGTTATTAATTATGACTCACTAACCCGCTTACTATATTTTTTTTTTAGTCTACTTTACTATTGTATAATTCTATTGTGACATGATTATTTATGCACTTGTTTACCCTCAGTAGGTATTTATTCTAGTATAACCAGGTATGCCTGGAAGAAAGCCCTTGTTAGCGATAAGCCCGCCCGTTGCGTAAAACCTAAAAAGTTTTTTATACGTATGCTTAAGGTAACGTGTAAATAAATAAACCATATATGAGCCGTATCGGAACTTGAACCTTATGTGGGCAGTCATTCATAAGAGCGTGTTCAATAGCTCAGATCTACCATACGGTACCGGCCATCCTAGTTAGACGCGGAAGGTATTAAATGGTCTAGCTAGCGTCAGTGAGTGAAATCCACTGGAAACCGATGCAGTGTAACGGGTTATTCTCGTCGATGGATTTGTTGACGAGCGGAAGACGTTGACCCCGCCGTCGAAGGCGAAACTGACGTGCAAACTTGCAAACATTTGGATGACAATAGGAACTGTTACCGCTTTTTTATAAAACCACGATGACATTCAAAACTTAGGATCACGTATCGAATTAGACATATCTAACGCACTATCGGAAATTTGAAATTTTGTTATCGTATTTTATCTCAATAAGATTTCGACATCACACATAAAAATACCAGTAGTCATAAGTAGGAGTTTTAGTTTTAGTTTCTTATTAATCTGTTCTGTTTTTAGAAAAACAAAACACTCTTTACTAATATAAAGGGGAAAGATTTAATTGTTTGAATTGAATAGGCTCTAAAATTATAGGAATTTGTGGGCAGTCAGAGACCCCTGGCCGCGACCATCTCCAGCTCTGGAGACGCACACGAGGTCTG